GGGGGGGGGGGGGATTCTGCGTTCAAAACAAGTTGTGTAGATAACCGCTCGTGAATCCGTAGGGTTGCACTTGTTACAGCGCAAGACGGGTTCCGTACATTACTTGCTCACGAGTCGGCCCCGTATTCGTCTAGACTCTGCAACAGTTGGCTATTGTGAGCCGCAACCTGTTTTGGAAAGTGAGACTCTCTGTTGCAGCACCAGCACCAGCAGTACCACCACCAGCAGTACCACCACCAGCAGTACCACCACCAGAGAGCGTAGCCGATGCGTCCGTGCCGTTGACGTAGTCGCCACATGAGACGCTGTATTCACGATATAGGCATCACGTATCTCGCCCGACAGCCGTAGTAGGGCGGTGGACAAGGGAGGAGGCAAGCAAACAACGCCGCCTCCAGCAAGCGCAACATGAGGAGAAATGAGAGACTTGAGCCGATCATAAACTGTCCGCTCGAGAGAACGGTTAGGGTTGGCTCTGTTTGAAATGTGCTCCTCCTGTCACGTACCACACCGCGCTGCCCAATGGGCTGCTGTATCTAGGAGTGCGTTGTAGGAAGCGCAGTCGTCCGCGTCTGCCACCCACAGCTCTTCATTTATATTTGTGCCGGCAGTGCTGTTATTTTAGGTGCCGACCATCTTGCGCTACTCTGTGGCAGGGCGAGCGTGTCACGGCGCAATGTGTGTTGTGTTCCGAGCGGATGCACCAGCATCTATTTCTCCTGATCTGATACGTCTCCGCGTGTGTGCTGTTGCTGCCTGGAAGGAACGATACTCGTCAGCATCGCAGATAGACTTTTACTGCTGTAAGATGAAAGATATCGACTCGTCCCCCGCCGCTCGTTACCCGTCCCTTCTGCTGGTAGTACAACATACTGCCGCTGGCGCACACGCTTTGAAGTGACTACTGCTGTAGATTTGTATCCTGATCGCGGACTGGCATCCGCAGAGTTAAACTGTCGATTTCGGTCTTTCATCCCTCCAAGAACACACCATTTTCTAATTCCCCCGGGCACAAAAATGAGCAGGCTCGTTATACGACATCTGGACCCTGGTCATCTTTAGCTCTTGCCTTTCGGGCCTACAACAATCACAGGGGACGCGCAAGCCCCTTTGTGCAAGAGGTAAAAGCCAGGTGCTTGAAAACACCGCCGTTGGTGTGTCCTGGGATTATTCGGGTGTGCGGCTCGTGGTACGAACACGCTCTGCGCCTGGGGGGAGAGCTAGACTAAAGCTACTGGCGGCCGTGGCCCTGCGCCTGAACAAACCAGACCAAACACAGAAAAGATTATGGTCAACCTGGCAATCAGTGTGCCGTATGCAGAGGTAGGCACCCATGCCGCATCCCCAACGGCAAAAAATCATCAATCTACATGTCAGGGGGGTGCGACTTGGAGAGGGAGCGTGAAGGTGCGGACAAACCCAAAGACGTTTCCGCCGCCGCTCAGCCACGTTCACAAGGGAGAGAAGAGAGAAAGGAGTACAACAACAATTCACGGAGCTGGACGCCTTGAGATGCTTCCAGTCAGGAACGAGGGCCTAAACCATCTCCGCACAACCATGCATCTTTGTTACCCATCACCCCACACAGCAGTAGAGGGCGGTTGGTGGGTGCCAACCGGCCTCCGGGACCGTAACACTCACATGCCAGCGGCAGCCAGAACCACCACCGCTAGGCACACCAGGCGACCCCGCGCCCGCTGCCCCAGGCCGGGGGTTCTTCGCGGCGGCATTCGTCCAGCCTTGACAGGTCTACACAAAAAAAAACAGGGCCCGGTCCTTCGCGGTGGCCCTCCCTGGAGCGAACTGAGAGGATACAGAACAGCTTGTGTGAGACATCGCAGCGCCCCATGGCCAGGGCATAACCCATAACCCACCGCCTATTCCTGCGTGGGGGAGGGTGTACGAAATGACGGAGCCCCCGGTGGTGCTTGCGCTTGCGTGTTGGGGAATTGGGAGCATCGTCGGAGAGAGCAAAGAGCTCTAGTAGAACGTCCATCGGGCATTCTTTGTAAGTGCCGAGCAGGGTGGGGGGGGTGGGGTGCCAGTGGAGAAACGCGAGAGGGGGGCGGTGTGGTCGATCAACCTCGTTGGATATTATATTTGCCTTTTTTGCGGAGGGATAAGGCGGTTCCGTCGTCCCATATTCAAGTGGTGCAAGCCAACACTGCCGACTGGAAGAAAGCAGTACTCAGTGCTCCATTGCTGCTGTCGTCGGGTCTGCAGGAGTCACCACACAGAACTAGAGGTTATAAGGGCCTTCAGCTGCTAGGACGGGGCTGGAGGTGGTCAAGGAAGACCCGGCTGATACTCTGCAGCAGGCGAGACACTCGAAACTTTTCAACAACGTCAACTATTGTCCACACGGGAAAGGGAACATCACACGCACCTCCGCCGGTGTGCAAAGCTGCAGCACGCGCACAAGACGCTGCCAGGATGACCGCCGTCAGCGCGAGGAGGAGAATAAACAACGGCCATGGTCCAGTCGACTGCTCTTCCCGTGCAACGACGAGAGCATACAAGACTCTCCTCTCCTGCTACCTGTTGCTACTGCTGCCGCTATGTGATTCCGCCGCATCTTCTTTCCAAGACAACAAGGTATTGCCTCTGTTCGTGAGAGCGACGAACAATGCGCACGACAGCGGGGAAGTAGGCGAGGAAGATGGCGGTGGATGGAGATGGGAGCACGACACCGCTGGTGATGCTTGTGGCTCGTCCGAGGAGGAGGCCTGTCAGGATATCCGAAGGTGCAAAGCGTGTGTGTATGATTCCCGGTTTAAAGTTAACCCTTTTGGGTCTACAGGCGTCCTGACACATCATCGATTGATCATTTGCAAATGCTGGTGTTGTGGTATGTCATGGAGTTGCTCCCTGTATCCCTCCAAGCCAGGTGTTGGCAAGTCCATAGGTAGGTGTGTCTTTTTTATTCGCATCGACCGCGCTACCCGGTGACCAATGAAAAGACGTTATTATAGTGTCAGTCGGTAATGTCAAGGTCCCTGGAACGGCCAATATTCGAAAAATGCACACCGCTCTATATGCGAATGCCACCATGAATCTCTCTCCATATCCTTTCACGGAGACATCCTTCCACAGAGACACACATCAATAGCTCCACATACATGCCCTCGCCGAATCTAGGAAGCCACTGAAGCAAAGGCAGGAGGACAGCGAAAAGGGGCATTTCAAGCCCAACCAGGTCACGATATATTTATCCTCCAAAGTTGAAAATCGTACACTCCCAAGATCCAGCAGTCATCTTGTCAGCAGCTAAACTACACAGTAGCAGCAGTATAGACGAGTCCAACATACAGTAGTAACACATACACTATCATCATAGCCCCACACATACCCTTGCCCGAGCCTGGAGAGCCACTGATGCAAAGGTAGGTGTGTGCTGGTGTGTGCCTGTGTGCTTGTGGGAATCGTGGGAAAATCACATAAGCTGTAGTGAGCCGGCAGGGCTCACATTGGGGAGGGGACAGAGAAGTACAGAAGTGCAAGAACCAGCTATGGGTCTACAAGTCCTCTCACTGATCATTTCACTGATCATTTGAATATACTGAATAAAGAGTAGTTTAGGCGGATTGACGACTGATCCTTTCAAGGTCTACAAGCCTGACCTGACCCACCGGCCGCACCGCGACCACGCATCATCCCTTTTGTGACCCTGTCTGTGCCCACCGTCCTGTCGCGGGCTGCCCTCATGGCCTATAGGTGGAGATAGCTGTTCGTCTGCAGAAGTACCCTCTGTCTCTTTCTGCTGTACGTCTGTCTCTCTCTCTCCCGCACTTTCGCTTTCCTTTCTTTGTTTTTGCCGAAAAAAGAAGAAAGAGCTAGACCCAAAGGGGTAAACAGCACGCTCGTGAGACTTGAAGTCATCCCGTCGAACAGGGTGTAGTCTCGAAGGGGTCACAGTCTTTCGGGTGGCTGTAGGTACTGCTGTATATTTCTATGAAGGGGCATTGCTGTATCAAGTGGTACACTCAATTGGAGCGATGTGACCTACTGCACACTATCCTGTTGCGTTGACAAATTGCGACCCATCATATTGCGGCAAGAGTCGCGTAACACTCGCACGTTGCCGAGCACGTCGATCAATCCGATCGTGCTTGGCGGTCATGGCTACTGCCTCGTTTACCCTTGGTTGTGTTCCACAGCTGCGGTGTCCATGCGATCCGCGTAGCCAGACGCGTTGTGTCGGACGATAGTTTCCATGCGGCTTGGGACACAACACTTCGAGAGTGTTTGCGTTCGGGATTGCTGCGCCTGTTGCGAACGGCGTTGCTCATTTCGTTCAGCCCGTCATGGGCTTGGCCCCGCGCAGGAAGCGTCCTCCGTACTCAATACAATTCTGCGCTGCCGCCGAGCCACCTGCAGCGCTGACGTGACAACAACCGGCTGTTTTGGTCGTTTGCAGGGTTCGCTCTACAAGATGGAACCTGTAGGGGATGCGGGCAGGGCATGGTCTCACGTCACCTACCCTCTCAGAGAGGTCGGCATGAAAATCTATGCGTGGGGTAGCAAACCTCCAAACCAATTTTTTTTTGGATCTCGATTTTCTCTTGGTTTTAATCGTACAACTTGCCTCCCCCTCCAAGCTCTCTCGGGAGGTTTCCTACACGCATACAAGAAACGCTACTTCTTCGTGCACCCTTGATCACACACTACTACATCCCGACCTTATCCTTGAGCTCCGCACATTTTCTCTCTCTTTCAGCGCTTTGCTTGCGGTACCGGAGGGTATGGCCGAGGGGAGCTGGCCGGAGCTGAGGCTTCTCCCGGGCTTGTACACAGGGAATAGGAACGTTTTCATCGGGGGGATCGGGGACACGGAATACCCCCCCGCGGCGAGGTGAGCTAGTGTGTATGGACGGGGTCGCCGTCGCGTTCCGTGTACAAGTGGGTGTTATTATCAGAAAATATACCAGTTGTTGGAGTTTGGAAAATATTCGTGCAACAACAGAAAGACCTACCAATGCGAGATAATTCCACAGTTCTAGTGTAAGGGGATGATGTGTTGATGTGTTTGCAGCGAGTGAAAAGAAAACCGGCTGATATTCTCGGCGTATTTTTTTGTCGAACTCAAATATCACGAACTACTGTACCTTCCTTCGTAAACGTTGGAGGGGAGGGCGGTAGTCGTGTCACACGTGTCCTCCTCGTAGCGTGTCGCCGAGCTGAAGGTACAAGACAGCAGTGAGTACTCAAGAGTTTCCGGTCAAACCTTGAGGTACATCAGGCGACGCGGCATCCTGTCGCCGGCGGCAGTTGAACCCAATCAATTTTTTTATGGCCGTTTGCCAGCATAGTAAACCACCCAATCCTGGGCTGCAGCGAAACGTGGAGTACACGTGATTGGTCCAACACGTGTGATTTGTGCTCCTTCTCTGCAGGGCTCTTAAACGCATGCTTTTTGAGGAAGCTCGTTGGCGTGGCACGATGAACCAAACTCGGTGATGTCGATCTATTGCGTGCGCCATGGCAAAGAAGGGGGGGAAGGACCATTATTTTCCATGTACTGTCTTTCTGCATGCGCCATTCATCGCTGCCTCTCTTGTGTGGCGGTTTCAAATGCAGCATATCTAATTCGCGTCGGAGATTCGGCTGTTTTTCTTGCAGGGGCCTCGGTAGGCCTTAAGCCAGAAAGACGGACCCTCGCCCTCCGTTCCCCTCACAGTATCCCGCTGCTTCACTTCGTCCGACTCATTGTCTTCCAAATCTACACACCAATGCATAACTATTAACATATAAAAACTTGTTATTTGTTCTATTCTTTCGGTTTCAGAAACGTGAGTATTGTCGGGTGGGGCGCGTCGCCGCACGTCGCCGAAGAACCGGCGCATGCGCACGCGAGCACAGGCGCCGTGATCTCCTGCCAGGGGAGGAAGTCGGACAGCGATTCACACCCGGCGACACGCGGGATTTGGCTGGGCGAGGGGCGCATCACTAGCCTAGCCAACCTAACCGTCACAGGTGAGTGAGTGAGTGAGTGAGTGAGTGAGTGGCGTGTATGTCTGCCGAAGGGGAAACTCGGAGCATGTGTCTCTGCGGCGTGCGTTCGGGTCGTACCATGTGTGGTTGGAGTACCGTTTCCCTCTTCCGCGACAGCAGGTGACCCGCACGAGGCGTGTGATCCCCTTGCCTTCCATTTGTTATGTTGTTTGCTTGCGCCGACCGCCACAGACTGCCCGGCGGGGGGAGTAGGCGTCGAAGCCTGGGGCGGGGACGACCCGTTTTCGTCCCCGGTGTTATCTTCCGTGACCGTCGCGGGAAACGGCGGGGATACGTGCGAGAAGGGCGGCGGCGTCTTTGTCACCTCAGCATCACGCGAGGAAGAAAGAGGATCCGTGAGCGGCGACACGGTGCGAACGGGGGGAAGGTACCAGACGGTCCCAGCGTTGACTGTGTCGGGGTGCGTCATTCGCAACAACACCGCGCGGTCGGGCGGCGGGATGGCCGTCAGTTCGGCACCCGCCTCTCTGCTGCTACCGTCCCGATCCAGGGCGGCCCCCGTCCCCCCGGAGTCGGCCGAAAATTCTTCGAAGTTTCCGGACGAGGAGGCGCCGAAAAGACCGGTCAAAGAAGAGTCATCGAGTCTCGCAGGCGAAAATCGCTCGAGGAACCACCGTTTTGAGCGGACGAGTCCCAACACCCGGAGGGGTGGCGCTCTGGTAGGTGCATCAGCGGAGGAGGAGGGGTCGAGCGGCGGCGGTGCTCTGCTGAGCGTTGTTGTGAACGAAGGGACGGTTTTGTCGGAGAACCGAGCCACGTTCGGCGGGGGCGTGTGGGCGTCGGGCGGGGCGGTGTCGGCGATGGGGGGAGTTGTCGTTAGGAACAACGTCGCGGGAGCGCTGCAGGAAGGCTGCAGTGAGGAGGTGAGGTGCCGTCTGTTGCAGACTCTGGGCGTGTCAATGAGGAGTGTCTGAACGGCCCAGGCCAGTAGGCACCTTTCCGGTCAGATTATTTTCCCTGCAAAATGAGGCGAGATACTCTGGACGATGGACTCTAAACCTGAGAACGTCTTCAACGGTAGGCTAGTAAATACATTTTCTATCATGTCACTCTCCGTTGTAGTGAGACTAGACGAATTGAAACACCACTCTAGACCTGAGCATGTCTTCAACGGAAGCCAGTAGACACATTTTCCACTGTCTATGTAATTGAGGCAAGATGAGCTCAAACACGGGCTCGGCCCAGGACATGCTCGGGAAGGCAATACTCCCGATGGCGATGGGTATGATACCGCCGTCAAGCGGTAGCAGTGCATCCGCATTGCAGGGTACAAGGTTATCCGAAGTGTTTGATTTTGTGGAGGAGAGAGTACCACGAGCGTCCGACTGGCTGGGCAGCCCGAATGACTTCCTACGAGCCTACATCCCAACGCCCACGCGTCTTGCCCAGTAGCAGAGAATATCAACTCCAATTGAGTTTGATTTTCCATCCGGAAGCAAGCAAATGCAAACGTTGAACGACCACGGTTCGTATTCCCCAACGCCAAAATTGTAGCGTACAATATTAAGGTAGGTATAATACAGTACACGCTTTCTATTGGTTTATATACGAAGACCAAGGTACCATCCGCCTTTTGCTTTGGAAGCGGCAGTTTTTGTGGCTGTTTTGCGCCATCTCAGGTAGGGATGTTGTTACCCCAGTTCTGCTTGCGACAGCGGTGCGAATCGGCATCTACGGGGAAGGGAGCAAGTCTGGGAAGAGAAAGCATCCGCCGAGACATTTTTTTTCTTTCCGAGGCTGATGCTTCAGCTCTGCGCTCCGTTCTTAAAGCCCCCAACTCGTCCTTCACTTCTTTTGAGCGCATCTGTCTGCAATCCTTTGCTCCCGCGCTTCCTCCCAAAACGTTGTGCGGTACAACAAAGAATTCCCCGTTCGGTGATGCCCCCGCAACCGCCAGCAGAACAACTCGTGGCACGTTGTTGTGACATCTATCCATAGGTTGCGGCTGATTCTTCAATTCTCGTCCCTGCCGGACGTATCCGTCCCGTCTACCTCTCCCAGATCGTGGTTTCTTCAAGTCTCTTGGCAAATCTTGCATACACACGACAATAGTTGGACGATGGTGTAGCTTGCTCGAATGCCTGAACTCGTCAACCTCCGGATAATATCTGCCTTTCGCGTTTTTGTTGTGTTGCCCCTGTGTAGGAGAGCTGCGGCGGTCGTGGCGGCGGCATGTGCATAGACGGCGGTTCTCTAACCCTGGAAGGCGTGTCCTTCGAAGGGAATAGGGCGGAGACCCACCAGGTAGGTGTAGACCTTACCCCCGCCCGCACAGGCCCACACCCCGTTTTTCATGCTCTCCACGACAATTTTAAAAGCGCAAGAAATTCCGGCAAGTAGTTCCGGCAATTTGTTTCGCGTCCCCCTATCGCCGCCTTGGGTTTGATGCGTGGTACATGCTGGTATCATCTCTCGTTGGCGTGAAGGGTTTCCAAAGGAGAGAAGGGGGGCGGGGGGGTGTGTGTGCCTGATTCGCCGAGAACTTGCCAGCGGTGTATGAGGAGTCTCCTCAGAGCTACTCATGCTGTTTCGGGTGCGTCATAACAGTTTTCGATCCGGTCACACGTGGACAGCAGCCGACCTGGTCGCACACACAAGCACATACACGCTGGTACCTCAGAATCAGGACTGTCGTCCAACACATGCTCCCCCGGTAGAACCCTTCGGCTAACAACGCGTGTTCGCGTATTTTATCCCGCTACATCGGTATCAGGCTGACGTCTTTTCATTGGCCAGTCGGTTAGCGCGGTCGATGCCACTCCAAGAAACACACTCACGTTGCCAGTAGAACTATAACTGGCAGTGTGTGTGTGTGTGACCGACGTCTTTTCATTGGCCAGCCGGTTAGCGAGGTC